TTGTGATGTAGTCTGTGTGGTCCACAGTGAATGTAGTCCTGACAGCAACAGGTGATAAGAATCAAAGGTTCCCATTGGATCCCATAGGAAATGCATGTGGGTCATTTTTGAGCCACTTGTGGAAGCTCGGGGTAGAAATACAAAAACTACAATTTGTTAAAATGTAAATTTAAAAAGTGAATGGCATGATATCCAAAACATGTTTTTTGAGGAATAGCTGGAATATGAAATTATAAAAAAATGTAATTACAAAGATACTTCAAGAAAATCACTTCACCGGGTCCAAAAAGACCCACTTATGCATCTAAGGGTTAAGTTTTCCCATTTTTCTTTAATGTATTTGGTCATTGGGGGTTTACAAAGCAATGGAGGAAGAAGTTATTTCAAAAGTGAGGAGATCGGAGGGAAATTGTGAAAAAGAAAATAGATTATGATGTAAAAAAAAAGACGACAAAGAAGACGTGTATTACATGCGCAGTGGCAGCAGAGGGCAGTCACACATCAGAGGGTTGTGGGCCAGGTTGATAACCTCCAGAGAGGAGAGAAGGTGGAGGTCCGGCACCTCCTCCAGAAGGTTCCCCTCCAGGAAGAGACTCCTCAGACCTGGACCCACCCCTGCCAGGGAGCTCTGAGACATCTGGAGCAACAAACATCAGAATACTTTTTCAAGATTCAAGGCTTTTATATGATTGTCATGTGTACATAGCTACAGTGTAGATATGACAATGAAAATCTTAGGTCACAGGTATGGATGTTCTTTCAAAAGTTCAGGTGTCAGTCTTATTGTTCTATTAATATAAAGGGAGGTCAGTTACTCTTTAAAACAGTTGTGGGTACTTTTTACTTGAGTACATTTCGAAGCCCACACTTCTTTACTTTTACTTGAGTAAGGAAGTTTAGTCAGTACCCTCTACTTTTACCAGAGTATTTTTAAACACAAGTATCTGTGCTTCTACTTGAGTAACGGATGTGTGTACTTTTGCCATCCCTGCTTGTGACCCCCTCACCTTCTCCAGCCCCATGTTGTCCAGGTACAGCTCCTTAAGGCTCCTCTCCAGGGGTCTGAAGGCGTTCGGCCCCACCCAGCGGATGGTGTTCTCGGACAGCCTCAGGTCCCGCAGGCTCCCCATCTTACTAAACGCCTCGGTGGGCACCTCCTTCAGCTTGTTGCCCCCCAGGTGGAGCGTGTCCAGGTCCCCCGCCCCCTCCAGAGCTCGAGGGGACACGTTCCCGATGGCGTTCCCGGTGAGGTAGAGCGAGCGCAGGCTCCCGGCCCCCAGCAGGACGTCCGGCTCCAGCCTGGAGATGGAGTTGTTCTCCAGGTGCAGAGCCAGCAGGCTGGGCACCAGGCTGAAGGCTCCCCGGGGGAAACCGGTGAAGCGGTTCTTCTCCAGGTGGAGGTACGTGAGCTGAGGGAGGCCTGAGAAATTAAACGATAGGAATTTAAAGCGCATCTATCTGGTAAATATACCTACTGCTACTTTTTAAAGGTTTCCTATCATAGTATTTTGGGTCTCCGATATAAAGAAATATAAAAAACATGATGTGTTTTGTCCAAAATACCAAACAGATCACCCAGCCATGCCTCGTACCCCTCTATTTCAGCCCTGTTAGAGAAACGCTGATTTTGGGTCCTTAGCTTTAAAAAATCAAATGTAAAAAGAGGGGATGGGAGTTAATGCCTGCTCAGAATCCTACCGAGAGATTTTCAGCTAAATGCTGCCATGATTAAACGCCATATCATGTTCCAAACCACATCAAGGATTATTTCTGAAACCGTATGGAGCTCAAATACTTTTTCTCTTGCGGGTTTACCACAAGGTGAGTTCCTTTTTTTATCCTACTTTTTTACACATAGCCTACTCTCTGTTAGCTCTGAGTGTTAGCGATGCTTGCTAATGTAAACAAAGACCATATTACTTCCAAAACGTAACGCATTGTTTCTGATAGCAACGTTTCCGATATTACGTCATATAGGCAGCAAATCTGGATCAGCTCCGTTGTTCCCCCGTTTTTAGAGATTTGGGTACGGAGGAAAAGAGAGAGGGTTTTATTTTCTGACGCTGCGTGAGTTCCCTGACACACCGGGGACACATGTTTATGTATAAAAGACATCAAAAAGTGCATTTTGCATGATAGTAGACCTTTAAAGTGTTAATGATGCATTTTAAGGACCTTTGAAGGCGTCGGGGCTGAGGGAGGAGAGGTCGTTCTCGGATAGGTAAAGGTAGATCAGGCCCTTCATGCCGCTGAACGCCCCGTCCTCCACCTCCACGATCTTGCAGCGCTGCAGGTGGAGCGAAACCACCTGGGTCACGCCGGGGAAGCTGCTGCTGGGGATGAGGTGGAAGTGGTTTCCTCGGAGGTCCAGGAGCCTCGTGTCCGGAGAAAAACCCCGAGGAACTTTAGTGTGAGCGCGGTTCTCACACGAAGAGTGGTGTGTATCAGCCTGGAAAATATGGGAAGGTTAGAGAGGACAAAACACAATAATCCACTTAATGTGAAGTGTTGGGGAAATCCCATTGCTTTTGCATCCGGCAGTTTCTATGGGCTGTGGACCCGTAGCCTACTACTAGTACACATCTCTGACAGAAAACTTTGGGGTACTCAAGATTTCTGGGTAAAAAACTGAATGTCTGTAGCACAATTCCAAGATTTGAAGCAGGGGACAAAGCTAGCATGGCTACATAAAAACAATATATATAAAAAGTATATGTAGACAAAAAATGTGTGCATCAAGTACCTGAAAACCTGGTAGAGGCACTCACCTCGCAGACGCAGTTTGCCGGACACTTGACCTTGTTCTTTGGCTCCTGAGTGGGAGGAGGAGTGATCCTGGCGGCCTCCTCCCTCTCCGCCCTCAGCATGGCCTCCTGGCTCTGGCAGCGCAGCTCCGGAGGGTACACAGCCTCCAGGCTCTCCCCCGACAGGTGGGCCGGACCTCCACAGGTGCCCAGCAGCTTCACCTTGTTACGGATCGACCATTCCCTGTGAAGGAAAAACCGGCCATGTGACTTCACGTAACCACCGCTACGCTAAAAGTGGCTAATGTTGGGCTGTAAAGGAACTACAGCACGGTCACATGACTTCACGTCACCACCGCTAAGCTAAAGGCAGCTAATGTTGGGCTACAAAGGAACTACAGCACGGTCACATGACTTCACGTCACCACCGGTAAGCTAAAGGCAGCTAATGTTGGGCTGTAAACTAAGGAACTACAGCACAGTCACATGACTTCACGTTACCACCGCTAAGCTAAAGGCGGCTAATGTTGGGCTATAAAGGAACTACAGCACGGTCACATGACTTCACGTCACCACCGCTAAGCTAAAGGCAGCTAATGTTTGTCAGGGTGCAGAGATAGCAAAAGTACAATACTTAACCTTCTGAAAACACTCATTTATTTCCCCCTATGTGGTTCCTCACCACCATCTGTCAGGAGCCAACTGCCTCGGATAGACATTCANCTGTAAAGGAACTACAGCACGGTCACATGACTTCACGTCACCACCGGTAAGCTAAAGGCAGCTAATGTTGGGCTGTAAACTAAGGAACTACAGCACAGTCACATGACTTCACGTTACCACCGCTAAGCTAAAGGCAGCTAATGTTGGGCTGTAAAGGAACTACAGCACGGTCACATGACTTCACGTCACCACCG